CGCTCCTCCTTGGCAGTGCGGTAGCCGTCCCCCCAGGCCGCCGGCGTCTCCGTGCCGTGCTTGCGGCTCAGCGGGTAAGCCCCGATGGCCGCCAGGATGCTGCGGTGGCGCTCGGGGTCCATCTCCGTGTAGTACATCTCCAGGGTCAGCGGCGTGCAGATCTTGTGCTGCGGGAGGGGCCGGGTCAGGGCCGGCGGGCTGAGCCCTCCTGTGCGCCCCTGGCCCGGGCCCTCCCGCTTCTGCGGTTGGGGGCACTGCGGACAGTTTGTAACGGAGCCATGGTTTCAGGACACCGAAGGTCAGCCTCTGGTTTAGAACTCAGGGCCCTGGGGGGGGGAGGGAGGGGCACGGAGCCAGGAGGTCGCGGGTTGTAAGGGGAGGGGGCCACCCAGGGAGAGGGGCGCAGACACCAGTGGACCTGCTCAGCCCAGCAAGGCCTCTGCGAGCGCGCTCCAGAGCATAAACCATGGAGTTAAGGAGAAAAGGAGCAGATTTTACTTCTGATGAATAAAAGGCTTTCTAAAAACACACTAAATGCTATAACTATTATTGGCAAAGAGCTTAAAAAAAAAAAAGGATGGAAGAAAATATTTGCCAAATATGTAGGGAGCATTAATATCATGTTATATAAAAATAAAACCTTACACAAGTCACTCAGGAGGACAGATGACCCCTAGAGAGACGGCTGGAGGGCGACCTTTTCTGCCTCATCTTTTACTTATTTTTTAAATTACAAGAAGAGAAACCCATCACTAACACATCTTTTCTTTTAAATTTTCAAAAGACAGACTTTCATGTTCTAGAGAAGTAACGGGAACATGGCTTTGGAGACCACTTTCCCCCAGCAGCAGCAGACACCCCTGCCACCCACTGCCTGGAGGCTATGGGAGGAGGCGCGGCTCCACCGCCCCCACCGGAGCCCTGGCCCCCTTACCCGCAGCAGGAAGCCGTCGGGGCAGGTGAACTGATCGTACCAGATGGCCTTGTACATGATCAGCACGCAGCCCAGCAGCGCCATGGCGAAGGCGATCATCCGCGCGGTGGGCAGCTGGCAGGAGGGCAGAGAGGGGCTCAGCCACGCCAGGCAGGGGTCGCCTTTGTGGGAAGCTCCTCAGGGGCTGGTGCTGGCACAGGACCATCCCCGCCCTCCAGTCTTGATACCCCACCCCCGCCCTGGGCAGCCAGTGACTTTTCCCACTTTTCTGAGGGTCAAAGGGTCAAGTGTGCAGGCATCACCCCTGGGGGCCAGGCCTTGCTGGCGGCCCCTCCACTGGGGTTCTGGAGACATCTGCCACCAGGTAAAGTGATGTGGCCTTTGACCCAGGTGGGTCTTGCGGGAATTTGCAGCTTTCCTTCGCTGTGGGCTCCACAGGGGATGGGGGCCACAGCCTCAGGTGAGTCGGAGGCTGCACTCACCAGGCCTCCCAGGGGACTTCCCACAGTGGGTGCTGTAACATGAGCTGCAGACTGGAACGTGAAGCCAGGGGCGGGGAGCCCTAGCAGATCTTACTACCGGAGAATGGAAGGCTTTGGAAACAGTCCACTAAAAATGACTAAAGCTATCTTAATAACGTTGAGAGATTTAAACAAGAGGATGAGAGAAGATATTTGCCAGATATACTGCAGAAAGAAAGTATTACATAGAAAGCCCGTAAGTCACTGAAGATGAGACAATGACCCTCTGGGCAAACAGGCAAGCAGCACTGGCCAGCGCTTCCCAGGAAGAGAAACATCTCAGGAGCGCCACCGTTTGGTCAGTCCGCACCTGCAGCCTCGCCAGGGGGCCTGATGACTGCAGGGCAGTTGGAGGCCAGCTCTGGGTGGGATGACTCACCGCCACCCTCTCCTCCCAGACAGCAAGGGGACTCCAGCCCGGCCTGGCCTGAGCCCAGGCACCCCCAGCTGCCTTCCACCTTCTCCCCCTGCCCTGAGTCCCCACAGTGGGTGGGGTGAGTGTGGTTACCCTGCGTCCTTCCTCTGGGTGGCTGCAGTTCAGCCTCTGGCCCTCCAGGTCAGGGAACTTCTTCTGCTGGTCTGAGGAGGACAGCTGGTATTCTGTCTGCGTCTTGATGACCACCTGTGAAAAGAGATGGCCATGGCCTCAGTGGGCAGCTGGGAGGGACCCAAGAGAGCCCTGAACTGAGAGGGGAGGGAGCCAGGGTCAGCTTCGTGGCAGTGGTGTTGACCCTGACCATCTCCCAGGACCGTCTGGTGGATGGCAGGGCTCCAGCAGCCACAAAGTTAGGCCAAGGGAAGGTGGACACTGAAAGTCTGCTGGGCACATGGCAGCCCTGGGCTTTGCCTGGTTGCTGACGGAGTCCCTCGCTTTGCCTGCTGCCTTCAATTCAGGGTGCTGGAGAATTGCCCTTGGCCAGCAGGGGTGGTCCTCCTGTCCCGGGTCCCCAGCATAGATGCTGCCCCCACCTCCAGCAGGGACAACTCAGGGTGCCTTTCATGCTGCACAACTCCCTAGGGGGTCAAACTGGGCTGGGCTAGAACTGAGCTCTTTGCTTCTCCCCAGTTTCTGCTATAAGCACCCCCAGTGGTCACTTGCCCAAGGACCTCCATATCTCAGGCTCAACCCAGGACAGGGCCATGCCCCGAGGGAAGGCTGGGAAGCGTTGCCTGCTGGGTGCCCTATGGACAGCAGGTAGGCGGGCTGCTGTCTAGGAGTCAGTGCGTGAATTCTTGGTTACCCGTCGGCCAGTTTGCCCAGCTCTGGCATATGGGGGAGCTGACCAGGAGGTCACATAGAGTGCCCATGGCCAACTGGGGTTTTGGTCCCCACGGTCCTTCTTCTGCTTGCTCTACTGCACCTGGGAAGAGGCCACATCTAGACAAACCTCACCCCACACCCCTTTGTTCCCAGGGGAGCCTGAGAAGGGACTCCACGCTGGCCCAGGCCCTCACCTGGTCAGGGAGCGGCGGCTGGAGCTGGCTGACGTCCAAGGGGCTGATCAGAGGCACACTGTCCATGGCAGCCCCATCCTGGTCCCCAGGGTCTTTACCTGGCTTCCCAGAGAAGCTGCAGCCCAGCTTCACCATGGTGGATGGCAGTGCTTGTCCTGTCCAGAGACAGACAGGGTTACTGCCCACAGGCTGCCCCCCTGGACACCCACGCCAGTTGGCTCTAAAGCCAGAGGACCCTGAGCTGGTCCTAATGCTCCTCACACCAGAACCAGGGACAGGCTGTAAGTGGTCAGGCCAGCCTCCTTGGGTAAACCGGTCAAATCCAGCCAGATGCTGGGTACTGTACCTTCTTGACCCCTACAGCCCCTCTGAACCCCACAGCACTGCAGGGGAAAGCACCCCAACCAGTGACTGTCCATGAAGCCAGGGGAGTCTTCCACCAGCGGCTGCTCTAAACAAGACAATCTCCTCTTTTTCCTTCTTCTTCTTCTTTTTTCTTTTTTTTTGAGATAGGATCTTGTTTTGTGGCCCAGGTGGGAGTGCAGTGGTGTGATCTTGGCTCACTGCAGCCTCTGCCTACTGGGCTTAAGCAATCCTGCCATCTCAGCCTCCCGAGTACCTGGGACCACAGGCGCACCCCACCACGCCTGGCTAATTTTTACATGTTTTGTAGAGACAGGGTTTCGCCAGATTGCCCAGGCTGGTCTCAAGCGATCTGCTTGCCTCAGCCTCCCACAGTGCTGGGATTACAGGAATGAGCCACCGTGCCTGACTCTAGACAACCTCTTAAAGACGACAATCCTGGACATCAGTCTGGAGAGTTGGGTGCCAGACTCAGCACATAAAAATGCTGGAGACCCAGCTAAATTTGAATTTCAGATAAGCAACGAGCCCATTTTTAATATAAGAGCATCCCTCGCAATAAGCGGCATGGGACGTGCTTATCCTGAAGTCAGTCCTCGTTCTGTCCGGCGACTCTGCTGGAGACGCAGGAAGTGAGACAGAGCGGCCACAAGAGGGCACCCGCGAGTCAGCCCAGCTGCGAGCCCGGCGCTGAAGGCCGCGGAGAGCCGGGCCCCTGCGGAGCTGAACGCCACAGCGGGGCCCCACCAACCCCGGAGAGGCCGAGGGTGCTCGGCTTCGCCTTCAGGCGGACCTCCTAGAGAAAAAGAATGCAGCGGATGACCTCCGAGCTGATCAATGGAAAAAGCAGAAAAACAAAATGTATTCAATCAATCAAAGGAAAAAAAAGAAAGGTCCTGTGTGCAGTAGAAACGGAACCTGTGGCCCGGTGCGATGGTGGCACCTGGGGTCCCAGCTACTCGGGAGGCTGAGGCGGGAGAATCGCCTGAACCCGGGAGGCAGAGGTTGCAATGAGATCGCGCCACTGCACTCCAACGTGAGTGACAGAATGAGACTCCGCCTCAAAAAAAAAAAAAAAAAAGAAGAAGAAGAAAGAATCTGCCATTGCAACCTTCTCACAAAGAACTCCAAGCGCACAGAGCATCACCACAGCATTCTACCAACCATTTACAGGGAAAGTAATGCAAACGTCCACAAAACTCTTCCAGAAAGACAAGGGAGCACTCACCAGCTCCTGAGGCCAACTAGCCTCAGTCCCCTAACCCAGCAAGGACAGCATCGGAGAGAAGCTCACAGGCCAGCCTCCTCCACACGCACACACCACTGCGAAGCCCCAAAGCTCAAGCAGGGTGAGTCCAGCGAATACAACAAGGTAACATATGACAGGTTGGGTGTATTCTGGAAATGAAATTTGGCTTAACATTTGGCAAGCAATCGTATTTTTCACCATATTAACAGAACAACGAAAAAGCGTATCTGATCAATTGCTAGAGGAGTAGAAGTAACTCTGGGTAAGACTCAGGGCTCATTTACTATTCCTTGGACCCATTAGCACACTAAGGCAGGAGGCGAGTGCTGTAACCCAGTAACAGTGAACCACAAAATCCCCACAGCAAACCTCACTGAATGTGAATCCTGAAAGCACCTTGATCTGCGGTTCTACAAGTTATGGCGCTAGAGGTCTCAGCCAATGCTGTAGGGTAGGACAAAGAAATGAGCTCTAGTGCCAGGCAAGAATAAATAATACTCTGATTATTCACCCATGAAACACTTTGTGTTTAGAAACCCCAGAAGAATCTATAGACAAATCATAAGGATCAAAAAGTGAGTTTGGCAAGGCTGTTGGATTTAAGGTATTCAGAAATCAGTTACATTCCTATATGTCAGTGGCAAAAATAAATAAATACATAATTTATTGAAGTACTCCATTTAAATAATATCAAAACTATCAAATCCTCAGGAATAGGTGTAAAAAGAGCTGAGGAACAGGGACAGGGCAGGGCCTCCACATGGAAACCAGGGAACATTGTCGACAGAGACCAAGAAAAGCTAAATCTCCCAAGTAAATGGAGAAGGCTGTGTCTATGGATTTGGGGAGTTTCCATGTTTAAACAAATTACCCACCCTCCGATCTGTAGATGCAGTAAATCTTAATCAAAATCCCAACAGTTTTTTAAATGAACTTGACAAGCACTGTCATTTTACATGGAAGGAAGAGGGGCAGGAACACACCAAGTATCTTGGAAAATAACATGGACTGCCGGGCATAGTGGCTCACGCCTGTAATCCCAGCATTTTGGGAGGCAGAGGTGGGTGGATCACAAGATCAGGAGTTTGAGACCAACCTGGCCAACATAGTGAAACCCCGTCTTGACTAAAAATACAAAGATTAGCCAGGCGTGGTGGCACACGCCTATAATCCCAGCTACTAGGGAGGCTGAGGCAGGAGAATCGCTTGAACCTGGCAGGCAGAGGTTGCAGTGAACCGAGATTGTGCCACTGCACTCCAACCTGGGCAACAAGAGCAAAACTCCATTAAAAAAAAAAACCCCAAAAAACAAAAACAAAAAAAAAAAAACATGGAGGAAGTCTCATCTGCCAGGGTCTGGCTTGTTGCACAGCATTGGAAATGGAGTGGTGTGGGGCTACTGTGTGGTGGAAGAAGTCCCACATGACACACTTTGCATACACGGACCCTGATTTGCAGCGTAGCTGCCTCTCAGTAAACCTCTGTCTGCATCAAAAGCAGTGAGCCTGATCCCTACCTCACATTACACAGAGAAGTCTACTCCAGGTGGATAAACCTGAACTGGAAAAGCAAAACAATAAAGCACCTCAAAGATAATACAGGAGAAGATTTTTCTGATCTCAGGGAGGGAAAAATTTTTTCATTAGGACAATACGTACTAACAACAAAAGGAAATATTGATAAAATGACTTCATTAAAACTATGAACTTCTGCTTATCAAAACAGCCTTCAAAAAATGGTAGGAAAAACCAATACTGGGAGAAGACAGCTGCAACCCACAAATGAGGAGGGTACATTGTGGGTTGAATGATGTTCCCTCAAAAATACATCCAAGTCCTAGGATCTGTGTGAGGGGTGCCTTTGAATGGGACCTCATTTGAAAATATGGTCTTTGCAGATGTAATCAAGCTAAAATAAATTCGTCCTGAATCAGGGTGGGCCTTGATCCAAAACTGGTATCTTTATTACAGGGAAATTAGATGTAGGAGACTGCTATGTGCAGACGGAGCAGAGACTGGAATGATGCAGCTGAAACCCAAGGATTGCTTGGGCCACCAGAAGCTGGAGGAAGCGAAGAAGAAGCTCCCCTAGAGGCTTTGGAGGGAGCATGGCCCCGCGAACACCTTCATTTTGGACTTCTTGACTTTAGAACTGTGGAAGAATTTATTTTAAGCCACCCGCTTGTAATTTGTGACAGCAGCGCTAGGATGTCCAGTTAACTGCCAGAGCCAGCAGTGACCACTCTTTCTCGCCCTGCAGTGGCCAGGCTCCACTGTGGGTTCCAGGTGTGGGAAGGCGCCAGGGGAACAGGAGCAGGGGACCTGCGGTCACAGAGCTTCTGCCCAGCTGCTGCCACTCAAGTAGAGATAATGTGGAGGCATCTGCGTGGAGGAGAATCTAAGGGTGGAAGGAGCTGAGGGTGGAATGATTGCAAGGTGGAAGGATCAGAAGGGGAAGGATGACGGATTGCGGGCACGGGGGGAAGGATCCAAGGGCAGAGGGATCCAACGGGGGAGGATTGCGCGGGTGGGGGTGGGGTGGAGCAGAAGGAGTCGAGGGTGGAAGAATCTGAGAGGGGAGGGACCCCAACGGGGTGGGGGAGGGACCCGAGGGGGTAAGGAGCCGACGCAGGGGGAAGGATCCGAAGGTGGAAGGATCTGAGCGGGAAGAATCAGCCTGGCGGAAGGATCCCAGGTGGGAAGGGTCGGAGAGCGGAAGTATCTGAGAGGGAAGGTTCTGAAAGGAGAAAACTCTGAGGGGGAAAGATGTGAGAGTGGAAGGCTCTGAGGCGGGAAGGCTCTGTGGGCAGAAAGATCTGAAGGGGGAAGGATCTGAGGGGGAAAGGACCTGAGGGGGAAAAATCTGAGGGCGGAATGATCCGTTGAGTGGAAAGTTCTGAGCGGGAAAGGATATGAAGGGGAAGGACCTGAGGGGGAAGGGTCTAAGGGCGAAGGATCTGACGGTGGAAAGATCTGAGGGGGAAGGACCCGAGGGCAAAAAGGTTAGAAGGTGGCAACTTTCGCCTGGGGAAGAATCTGAAGGTGGAAGGATGTGATGGAGAAGGCTCTGATAAGCAAGGACCTGAGGGCGGAATGATCTGAGTGGAAGGCTCTGAGGCGGGAAGGATATGAAGGGGAAGGGTCTGAGGGGGAAAGACCTGAGGGTGAAAGAATCTGAGAGGTGTGGAAAGACCTGAGAGGGAAGGATCTGAAAGCGGAATGATCAGAGTGGGGAAGGATCTGAGGCGGGAAGGCTCTGAAGGTGAAAGCTCTGAAGGACCGGAGGGGGAAGGATCTGAAGGGGAAAGATCTGAGGGGCAGGGCATGAAGGGGAAGGATCTGAGGGGGAAGGATCTGAAGGGGAAGGGCATGGGGGGGAAGGGCATGAGGGGAAAGGATCTGAGGGGGGAAGAGCATGAGGGGGAAGGATCTGAGGGGGAAGGACCTGAGGGGGAAGGATATGAGGGGGGAAGGACCTGAGGGGGAAGGATATGAGGGGGGAAGGATCTTAAGGGGAAGGATCTGAAGGGGAAGGGCATGGGGGGGAAGGGCATGAGGGGGGAAA